CCCCAAAACCCCAAAACCCCAAAACCCCGTACAACTAATTTAAATCAGAGATATAAGAAAGATAGAAATTATAATAATGATAGCAAAAAGTGAATTTAAAGTGAAATAAATTGATTTAATCAAACTAATTTTGCTCTATTACATCATATTAATAAACACTGATGGTTGATGTAAAAATTAATCAAGGGGACTCTACCACCCAAGAATCTCATTTCTCAAGTGATAGCTAGTTCCAATATGCAAGAGGCTTGCTTATTTTTTAGAACTCTAATGGTAACTTTAACTTAATAAGAAATTGATTTCAATTTAGTGAGATATTTGTTCATTTTAGATTCTTCTAATGGAAATCTCTCATTATTAAAGACATCGAATTAGCTTCAACCCTTTAAAACTCTTTCACTTTGTTAAGGCTCATTTCTTGAATCTAACAGTAAGATTTGTTAATAGATCTTAACTTCTTTACTAAAACAGGAGTACTATCAGATAAAGCATCAGGAGAATTAATTTAATCATTTGATTTTAGAATTGCTAGATCTTAAGGATAGAAATCTCAGATCTTTACTATTTTCACAGAGAATGGAAATGATATAGAGAGACTAAAGGAAACATTTACTCTATGTTCATCATATAATCAAATTAAGACTTAAGCATAAAGCAAAGTAAGCAAGGGCTTCATTGCAGTAGCAAAAGCACCAATAAAACTAGCAGACTTAATAATCTTATCTTTGGAGAAGATTGGAGATGGTGCTAGGGCCACACCTTATTTCATGACAGGGCAGAATTGTAAAGGAAGTAAAATCTTCGATAGAGTGGATGTGTCTACCATTATTGATGGTATAGCTTATGGTTCTGTCAGCATGATTAAAGAAATATTAGGCGCAGTAGCAGGGATTGTCTTAGATCCAATACTAGGAGCGAAATCAAAAGGATTTAAAGGTGGGGCTCAAGGATTTGGAAAAGGTTTGCTTGGTTTAATATTCAAGCCAGTTGCAGGCACAATAGATCTTGTAACATATACTACTAGAGGCTTAGGAAAGACTCCTAAGACAATACACCAAAGAATTAAAAAGATTGTGAACAAAAGAAGAATGAAAAGTTTATTGGTGAAATAGAAATTCACTCAGCCCCCAATTAGACCTTATATACCTTCAGAATAAGATTTATAGGAGTAGGAAAAGAAAAGATTAATAAGATTGAGAGAGTAATAATAAGCTGGAAAATTTAAATATAATGACTAATTTTGTATAGGCTAAACTGACCTACATCAATACTATATTAACATCAATGATATGAAGTTGAATATTTCCAAGCTCTAGGAAATTGATGTTAATTAGAATCTATTCTAAGATTTCTAGGATTACGAGGGTCTGTCACAATCAATTACCAAAATTTTGACTAAATTCATAGCTAAAAATGAGAACAAATCAATTGAAGCTTTAATTGATAAAATTTCCAGAGTCTTAAAGCAAAGGATCAACCATTTTAATATGGATAAACTTGATAAAGGTATAGTATCATTGCTCTAGATAGATGAAGACGATGAGTTTTCCTCAGAATCCTCAGTAGATGATGCTATTAACAGAAAGAATATAGACTCAATACCATCTATTTAGGACGAGTAGAATTTCCAATTCTTAGAGTAAATGATAAAAGATTTAGTAAAACTTATAAATGAGGAAAGAATAACAATTTTAAGATAAAGGCTAGATGATGATTTAGAAGAAAATTTTAATTAAATTCATGAACTTTCAGACAATGGCCATGATCCTGATTAAAAACCATCTGATCTCAAGTAGTTTTTGATTGAAGAAAAATACAAGAATAAGAATCTTGAAATTTATATGGTCGAAGCAGAATAAGTTGTTGATGAGGAATTTGATGGTTTATAATTTGACGATTAATAATCATCAAAAAGTTTACAAATGAGTTAACGAAAGCTTTCCAATAAGAGTTCTAAAGATGGATACAATAGCTCATTGTAAAACTATCAATTCTATGATGCAAAGGATGATGAACTTCAAAGTTATCGAGATTAGGATTTATTTATGTCGGCTCGTGGAAGCCATTAATTTGAAAAAAGCAGAGATATTTTTAGACCTTTAACTCCTTCACATGAATATAAGAGTAAATTTGAGTTGTCTTAGAAAACCTAATAGAAATTGAACGATCAAAGTTAAATGAAAGATTAAGGTTTTTATTTTGGACATTTGTAATGTGATGAAATTAAGGTCAATTTTATAAAGATTCTTATCACTAAATATCTGCAAATGATGAAAATATATGATAAAAAAGTGCACTAAAAGCTTCAAACAGAGGACAATTTACTTGTGATGTTTGAAAAGAATCTCAAGGATGAGATACTTAAAGATAATGAAATAAAAACTATTCAGCTTGAAATAAGATTGAAAAATTCAAATATATCAGTCAAATCTATCAAAAATATCAAAAACTCAGTTATTAGTCACACAAGTGGAAGATAAGATAAAAGAATCTAATTTGGATAAAATGAATTAGATTAGAAATTGGTAAAGAAATTGAAGATTATTGAATATGCAAAAAGATTGCCGTAATTATATTAAGCTTCTTAACTTACTATATAGAATAATTATCAGATCAGATGAATATAGAAGTGCAGATGCTCATAAAAATGGGGGGTTTGCCCTAACAGATTAGAAAGTTTTATAAAAGTATAGGAATGCAGGTAAAGAGCTCATCAAATAAATAGGAAAATAATTAATTACAGGGAATTTCAACCTTACAAATACTTCTTTTCCTATAAAATGTATGTCGCATAAAACGATTCTTGAACTTATCGCCTCTGTAACTTGCGTTGGTCCCGCTTATCTTAATGCAGCAGCCTTTGCTGAAGATCCAGTAGAAAGAATGAAATATGTTATGACAGCAAGTGTGGCTTTTGTGTATCCTACTCATCATTTTGATAAACCATTAAATCCTGTACTTGGAGAAACTTTCTAAGCCGAATTACCTGATGGTAGCAATGTATATATGGAATAAACATGCCATAAACCACCTATTTCTCATGTTTTACTTGAAGGACCTGATTAAAATTATACTTGGAGTGGGTATTCAGGGTTTTCAGCAAAAGCTTATCTTAATTCTATCGTCTTGAATGTCTATGGATCAAAGCAAATTATTTTTAAAGATGGCACAAAGATTGTTTATAATAACTAAGGAGATGCTTTTAATAACACTTTCTTTGGAATTTTGAATCACTAGATAAATGGTAGAATCGAATTTAAAGATGAGTAAAACGGTGTTACTGCATATTATGAAATTGGAAATAACAAGAAAAAGTAAGTTTATTAGTGTCTAATTTTTATGTTTTATTAGAGCTTAAGATTTTTTCACTGGTGAAATATTCCTAAACAACAAAAAGGTTAGTGATGTCTCAGGAAACTATATGGGATATATTGAATTCGATAAGCAGAGATACTGGGACCTTAGAGACTAAGTAATCTATGATGTGGTTGGCTTACCACTTGTTTAATGCTTGAACTCTGATAGCAGATATAGAATAGATTCATAAGCTTTGCTAACAGGGGATGTGGAATAAGCCTAGAAGAACAAAGAGATATTGGAGCATTTGTAAAGACATGATAGAGCGAATAGAGAGGCTGCTGAGAAGAGAAGATCTAAAGGTGGGGCAAAATATGTCTATAAGAATTGATTACTATTTATCGAAACTAATGTCATAATTCTTAAATTCATAAATCAACTTTAGACTATTAGAGGATTTTGGGGTTTTGGGGTTTTGGGGTTTTGGGG